CCATCTCATTGCTTCCTTGTCCACAAGACCCTCACAGCCGTAATGGCCCGCCGGGAAGGGGGGGAAGGCCGGGGGGGGGGGGGGGAGCAGCTGATGCTATTTTGGAATGAAGGATATAAAGAAGGGGGGAACCATGAAAGGCACAGATCTTGCTTAGACTCCAGACTGAGATACCTCCAGAGAGTAAGTATGAGATTTTTGGGGGAAAGCTGTCCGGGAGGAATGAATCCAAAAAGGGGAGACATTAAATGAGTTTTCACGTGAAGATATGAAAGCAACCAACTCAGGACTGGAAACATTAAAATGCGTTCAATCTTGTTCATAAATTCCTGCCAAGCTGGGCCCAGAAAAAAGCTAGTGGTGGGGGCTTTATCCATCTCTCCGTCAGAGGAGTTGGTGCAAGCCTACACCTGTGAGAGGAACGTCTTTGTGGAAGTAGGACCTCTGTCCTATCAGCGTGGAAACTCTTTGGTGTGGATTTCTTGGGAGATGTGCATGGATGTAGGGGGTGTGCCAGGATAAAAAGAGAGGGCTGCACCTGTGGATTGTGAAGATGGAGGCACAGCATCCTTAGGAGGACTGCTTGCACTTTGTTGACCACGGTTGTGGGGGCTCCACCGAGCTCTTCATCCAACGTGAGTTATCACAGGCAGGGAGCAGCGCGGACTAAAGATCTAGACAGGGTGGTGAAAGGGAACCAGAGAGAGCAGGAGAAGTCGTAGCAGGGAGTGCAGGAAGAGACCCTCTGAAAGGGTTTAGCCCTGGATGCTTGCACTGAACGAGGAGAGCCGGGCAGAGCAAGAACACAGGAGGAAGTTCTGCAGAAGCCTTAGGGTCAGTGGGAGCAACCGCCAGGAAGATGAGAAGAAGACAGGGATGACTGAGAAAGGGTTCCCTGTAGGCTTGCGGGGGCAGAAGTGAAGGAAACCTGGAAACAATATTAAACATGGAAAATAAAGAGTTGAATATGGGGGGCCCTGGGATAAAAAAAATTAACAGAGGGGTGGCTGAGGAGAAGCTGGAGAGAGCTGTTTGCAGAGGGGAAGAAATCTGGAGCAGAAACATTGGCTGTTTGGGTGTAATAATAATAATAGCCATAAAAATAATAACATAAGCTCTTCCTTCCAAGGGCTGTTCTCCCCTGGTGAGCCCCCCAAAACTATCCAAGTTTTGCAAACAGCCCCCCTCTTCCTCCACCATATGGCCAGGCTTTCCGAGGGCAGCTGTCCACCCCCTCTGACATGCTGCTCCAGCTGCTTTTTCCAGCTTAGCCGGGAGATGTCAGCCTCAGATTCCTGAATTTGCTGAATCTTTGATACTTAAGCCTAACATTCTTCTATCCCCTCAACTTTTCTCTATTTCTTTTCCCAGCCTTCTTTTTTTTCCCCATTGCTCTCTCCTGCAAGGTCCTCAAAGGTAAGACTCTGTTTCTTGATCAACCCTTCTTCCGAACGCAAAAACGATAGACGCAGTGGGTGCGTTTAGCAATGCGCCATTTGGAGCTGTTCATGCAAGAGGCCCTCAAACCGAGTCCAGCAATGGAATTCCCAAGGGGTTCCCCCATCCAGCTAGACACAGGTCATCACTAAGGTAGACCTTGCTTAATGACTGCCCTGTTTAGCGACTGTTCAGAGGCGCTGACAAAGTAACTTTGAGACCAATCCTCGCATTTATGACTGTCAGAGCGCCCCCGCAGTCATGTGATTGACATTCGGACACTTCGCAACAGGCGGGTGTTTACAACTGTCACAGCATCCCGCAGTCATGTGATCACCATTTGTGTGCTTTGGAACCGGCTTCTGACAAGCAGGGTCAATGGAGAAGTTGGCAGTAAAAATCATAAGTCATAGTCATGTGATGTCTCAATTAATGACCGCATCACTTAGCGACAGAGTTGCCAGTCCCAGTCGTGGTTGCTAAGTGAGAACTACTTGTATTTGGATAGCTGACCACTTGGGAATTTAAGGCATCTTATCTTGTCACACACTGGAAATACAGGTGGTCCCCGGGTTAAGAACGCCTGGTTTAAGGACGACCCATAGATAAGAACGGAGCCTATTGTAGCAACATTCAAGTTAAATACACAATGATTTGAGTTAAATATACAATGGTTCAAGTTCATTACACAATATTACTTATACAGTATTATACAATAATACTGTTCTGGCTTATGTACAAATTCAACTTAAGGACAGACCTTGGGAACAGGACTCGTCCTTAAACTGAGGACCACCTGTATGTACGTGGGTGGGAGGAGCTCTTTTGCTGAACCAAAGTGAATGTACCGTATTGTTGCTGAACAATAGTACAGTCCTTGGGGTGAGGAGTGGTGAGGTTTGGTCCAAGTTCCCCCCCCGAACTTCACCATGGGACAAGCACCCCATGGGAGTGGGGGAAGAATCAGCAACGGGGTAGCAAATCTCACACTAGTATAATTTTCTGCCAGCTGACGGGTGCGTGGAGAAATGGAAGATATGAAATGCAAACATTGGAAAATCTGGTGGCTTTTTATCAGCTTTTGTACAAGCATTGCAGGAGAAGATAGTAGATGGTTGGCATTTCACTCCAATAAGGATAGTGCAAATATCTCACAATTATTCAAGAAAATGTTGGAGGGGAGTCAATAGAAGGGATTATTTTTCATCTGTGGTCGGTAGGTGAAAAAGTTAGGCCTTTGTGGAAAAAAATATCCAAAGAAGTAAGGATTGTAATGAAAAGAACGTGCTCTAAAATTGGGGTGATTTCATATTTTTGTGGAGCTAATGCTAAATGACCTAACAAGGAACTTATCCCATGTTCACTTTTGGCAACTAAATTCATAGTTGCTCAAATGATGGAAGTTTCTAAATTAATTTAACCGTTGAACAATGGTCAGTTGCTCTTCTTGGAAAAGTTATTGATAAAATTCAAACCCTAAATTCACTGTGGGATGAATCACATTTTTATTGAGTCTGGAAAGATTATATATACACTCAATCCTCGTTATCCACGGGAGTTACGTTCTTGAACCCACCCGCAGAAACAAAAAACCACGGTTACTGAAGCATTGATCCTAGTGAGATCCCATGATTTATTTTTGGAACGATGTAGAGACTTGTTAACACAACCAACCCTGTAAGAACAAGAACACAGTTTCCCTTAGTTTTTTTTCCCAAATAACTTTATTAAAGACGACAGACAAAATAAAAACTAATACAGACTACCAAAAATATAAGAACAAAAAAGGAGAAAAAGAAAACAAGTGTAAAAAAGTGTAAAAGAGAAAAAGAAAGTAATTTCCCCTTCCTCACAAGTATAACCAATTTTAGTATCACCATCGCTTAAAGTGCGACAAATCTTTTAAAGTGCGACAAATATTCTCTTCCCCTCATATCTCACCTCTTAACTAAAAATAAAATCCAAAAACCTCATCATTCAATCTGCATCAGCAAAAGTCCAGTAAGGGTTACTATATATAACAACTTATCTATTTTAACCTTGATCAAATAAGCCAACCCTATATTCCTTCCCTTTGCTTTTAACAATCCTGATTTTTCATCCTTTCAAACAAAGTCCCAGAGCTTGATTTCTTCTCATCTTTTCTTTCTGTCCCTTCTCAAAGAATCTTTCAAAACTTTAACAGACCTCTTTTGTACATCCAGTAAGAATTTTTTTTCCAGTGGTTTCCCTTGATACCTAAGCTTGTGGCGACATTGCACGGTAAGGCTGCCAGATTTTTTTCCATACTGCGCATGGCCACGTAGAGCCACGTTGAGACTATGTCTGACAAAAAATGGATTACTTTTATAGAAGCGTATAAGCGAATTCGCGGAAACAGAAAGCACGGATAACAAGGATTGTATGTGTGTGCATATATAGTGTCAATAAGAATAATAACTCTAATTTTAGCAGATCCTGTGATCTATGGAAATGATGCGTGAATTTGGATTTGCTGTTGGATGTAAGTGTAATAATAGCGATAATAACAATAACCATCTTTTAAAAACCTCAGTGCGGAGAGCTCGTCCACCCCCTAGGTCAAGGTTGCTTAATCTTTTAGCAGCACAAAGGTGCCCGCAGGACTGTCCAAACTCACTCCAGCCTGGGATGCGCATCTCCTCTTCTAAATCCCCTTCTCTATCTCTTTTTTTTCTTGTCTCCTGCGGCACAGAATGAGTGATGCACCGATGGCCGAATTTGGACTGGCGGCTCCCTACCTTCGCAAATCAGACAGGGAGCGCCTAGAAGCCCAAACCCGGCCTTTCGATAGCCGCAACGAATGTTTCGTGCCCGACGAGAAAGAGGAGTTTGTCAAGGGCAAAGTGTTGAGCCGGGACAGCGGCATCGTCACCGTGCAGACGGAGAACGGCAAGGTGGGCGGAGGGGTGGGGTGGGGAAGAGGGGGTCCAAGAGGGAGGAGGAGAGCTGGTTGAGATGGGTGTCCAAGGTGGGTATCGGTGAGGGTCAGGATCGGACGCCGAAGAGCCAGTGAGCATCGTGACGCTACCATTGGGGAAGGGGCAGAGTGGGGAGCAAGGAAGGAAATGCCAGGGTGGGATCTTGTCCAAGGTTGAAGGACGGGGATCAAGGCATCGAGACCTTCTGAGAGATGAGAAGAGCAGAAGAATCAGTCCAGGATTTGGCAGAGTGTCACCCTTGCTAGCTTTTGCCAAAGTTTCTTTCTAGAGCAGCGTTCCTCAACCTTGGCCACTTTAAGATGGGTGGACTTCAACTCCCAGAATTCCCCAGCCAGCCAGGGGAATTGGCTGGGGAATTCTGGGAGTTGAGGTCCACCCATCTTAAAGTGGCCAAGGTTGAGAAACGCTGCTCTAAAGAAGAGGCTCAGTGTCAGCCCTTCGAGGTAGTCCAGACAAGAAGTTCTAGCCATGAATACTAACGCTACCTTTATTGTCAGGTTACAGTGAGTCAATCTTGCAAGTCTGAAAGCACCTCTCTCCCTCCTTCCTTTACTTTCCAGGGAACGAGGGAGGGTCCCTTCTGAGACTCTTCCCACACCCCTTTTCCTTCTGCGGGCTGAGTTCCCTTTTGCATGACGGTGGTTTAGCCTGCGGCTCTTCCTCCTGTCTCCCAAGGTCATTCCCACAGGCCATTACACCCGGCCAACACCTCTCCCTTCCTCCTGACCCTTTTCAGACGGTGACGGTGCGGGAGGCTGACATCCACCAGCAGAATCCGCCCAAGTTCGACAAGATCGAGGACATGGCCATGCTCACCTTTCTGCACGAACCGGCCGTGCTCTACAACCTGAAGGAGCGCTACGCCTCCTGGATGATCTACGTGAGTGAAAACGCTTTCATCACTGGGTGCCACGCTGGAAATAGGGGTTTATTTCCTCCCCACAGCAGCCTCCCCCCAACGATCCCTGTTCACTTCCCCTTGCAGGGGTGTCTGCAGGGAGGGAGGGTCAAAAAAGTCAAGATGGCAGTCAGAACCATGCATTCAAAGCCTGGCCCTTTTTAACTGCATCGCACTGTACAAAAATGCACTGAATGTACATTGCACTGCATATAGAAAAGGCCAGGGCTTCGATCGTAAGATTGTGGCCACCATCTTGACTTTTCTGACTCTCCCCGCACCTTGCAGGCCTAGAGGGGAGGCACCTGGAATGTAAGTCATCTTCTTTATGAATATAACCCAGAAAAAGTTGTGTTCTTTTTAAAAACTATTGTAGTTATTTATTCATCTGGGCCCATGGAATTTAAGGTAATGTTTGTGGCTTTCCTCCTTCGCTAGTTTATTCTCACAACAGCCCAGCAGAGTAGGCCAGGCAGATACTGGCCCACTAAAAGTCTGCATTTATTTATTATTTTTGTTTGATTTTTTAATTTTAGAGTACGTATAACTTGCTCCCTTCTAGAAGAACTCTGGGCAGTTTACAAAGCGTACAGAAAGAAAACCAAAAAGCATAATAATAAGATATTATTTATGTATGAATATGGTTTTTATTGTATTTTTATTGTATTTTAATTAATATTTACTTTTTGTTTTTACTGTAAACCGCCCTGGGTCATTTCCTAGTGAGATGGGCGGTGACCAAATTTGACATATAAATGAGTATAAATAAATAACTAAGTAAATCCAAATAACATTGAAAACAAAACCAAAAAGTCAGAAAAAGCAAGCATAAACTCTAGGACAGAACAGCCTGACTCACGGCTAACTCTGTCCAGTTTTCTGGGTTCGCAAACACACCAAACCATGGCTGGATTTGCACAACAAAAATGGATTCCTTTGTGGTTCAGGTTGTCGTGCGGACACAACCCACATTGCTCAGGTTGCTTGCTAGGGACTGGAATATGAATCAGGCCATTACATCAAGCACAGCACAATACACCCCTCAGTTCCTCTGCAAACTGAATTATCAGTCCTGGCTGCATTAATTGCCAGAAAACCCATCTTTGCATCTTTCCAAAACGGTTGACTTAGAAGCAGTCTAGCTTTCCAAATCACTCTGAGGGCCAAACCTAGTGGCTTTTCTCAGCCCAGCAAGGGGGGGAAATACCTTCTCCACATCTGATGTAGGAATAGGTTGCCACCACCCAGATGCAGAAGAGTCCAGAAGGCATTTCCACGTTCGCAAGGCGAGGTCCAGATCCTGTCCCTTCCTCCCATTAAACTGGCACCGTATTGCCGACTTTGAGGGTAGCCAGGGACAGATCAGCCTTAATCAAGGGGTTTGCTTGCATTTAATTTTACACGCCACGCTGAGTCTTTTTTTGACTTGGTGGCCTTAGACATCTAATCAATTATTATTAGCAGTCGTCGTAGTACACATATATCACATAAAGGAAAAGGAGGAGGACGTTGTGGATACATTATTTTTTAAAATGCAAACTGTGCATACAGACTCTTGACCTTTGGGGAGAGCAGACCATGCTTCTTGTTCGTGAATGTCACAACTGCTTTTTTTAAAATTACTTTTTTTTCTGGATAGAGCGAGAAAGGTCCTTTGAGTAATGTGTTTTGTGGAATCTCAGATTTTCTTAGCTGGCCACGTGAAACAATTCCCCAACCCAACCCCCATTTTATTCTTACATTTCCTGCACTGAACAATTAGCTGGACCAAATTTCTCCAACCTACCGGCTCCCCAGATGTTTGGACTTCAACTCCCAGAATTCCTCAGCGAGTGTGGCCATTGTTGAGAATTCTGGGAGATGAAGTTCACCCCATCTGGAGGGCACTGGGTTGGGGCAAGCCGTGCAATCACATCCTAAAGAAGGTGGTACAGAGGCTGCTTCAAATCGTGCTATTTTGGGCGAGATGTTTGCTCTTTGCTTTTTTCCCAGACGTATTCAGGCCTCTTCTGCGTGACGGTCAACCCTTACAAATGGCTCCCCGTCTACAACGCGGAGGTTGTAGCTGCCTACAGGGGCAAAAAACGAAGCGAAGCCCCTCCCCACATTTTCTCGATCTCCGACAACGCGTACCAATACATGTTGACAGGTAGGGAAGCTTGTCCGGGGCTGCATTCTCCAAGCAGATGCCGCCAGGTCATTTTCAAACACGCATGTAACACTCCAACCTTGATGTGTTGTTTCAGGACTTAGTATGCTGGGTGAACGCAGGCCATTGAATTAATCAGGGGTCCCCAAGGGGTCGAAAAAGTCAAGATGTCGGCCAGGACTGTGTGGTTGAAGCCCTGCCTTTCTTTTACACGTGTCACATAACAAAAGAGCAAAACTTCAGTTGTGCATCTTGACTTTTTCACCCCCACACCCCCACAGATAGTCCTGGGCTAAATCAATGGATTGGGGTCTTGTGTGAACGCTGAAAATCAAGGGAGTAACCCAGTAAAGTTGGTTATGAACAAAATCTGTGTGTGTGTGTGTGTGTGTGTTGGAAAATGACATACCTGTTCCAAGACCCTGCTTTTTATTCTCTGGAGAACTTAATTCTCAGATCTTGCATGCATCTTGTGGCAAATGCAACCGCCATCACACTTAGCAAATGTGATCTTCTCACCTTTACCTGTAAGGTATTAACTTATGGGGGGAGAGGGTTAATAGAGTAGCATTCGCTTTCGTAAAGGTTCAGTCTTTGATGATCAGACACTAGGGATCTCCAGCAGGCTTGGATGATGTCAGCCTACCCATTCACTGTCAAAGATGAATTACTGCACTAAATTCAGCTCCAGTTTGATCCCAACACCATCCTTACATCTCCTATTTTCTTCCAGATCGAGAAAATCAATCTATCCTCATCACGTGAGTATCAAAATGCACGTTCTGTTTACAGTTTTAAAAGCTGTAAGCTTTCATTTTTAAAAATCGGATGGTTTGGCAGTCGTAAATGAAAGCTACACGCTTTTCCCGTGCCCCCCGCCCTTATTCTGTCCCCATTCCAGTGGAGAATCCGGTGCAGGGAAGACGGTCAACACTAAACGAGTTATCCAGTACTTTGCCAGTATCGCTGCCATCGGAGACCGCAAGAAAGAGGCTGCCAACTCCCCCAAGGTTGTTCTTATTATGGTTCTTTGGGTTTAGTAGTTCTTCCCCAATCTGGTTCCCTCCAGATGTGTTTAGCTATGGGTGATGGGACTAACAGTCTAACATCTGGAGAACTTCAATGTGGAGAAGCTTCTTTCATAGCACGCTCCTGAGAACATGCTCCTGGCGCTTTCTTCCTTTAGGTTTAGGGTTTAGCTAATAACATCTTGAGAAGGTCCAGGCACCCCTTTTCCTCTCCTTCCTTAGAGGAAAGGCAAGGCATGGTCTTCTGAAAACGAGTGTAGGACCATAACTAAAGCGAGGTCACCCCTAGCGGCCTCTAGCATCTTCTAGAGCCAGCCAGCTATTGCTCTGCTGAAATAACAGCATTGAGGACAAGCTTTATATAAACTATGTGGGGTGATGTTAGAAGATGGGATAAGTCACTAGCAGGGGAAATTTCCCTTGGGTCTACGTTCTGTGTTGGCACCACTCAACAGCTAACCAAGCTAAACAACGTAACCCCAACCTCTCAAATCAACATTCTGAAAAATAAGATCTAATCTTTACCCTCAGGGTTAGGAGAAGAAGAACAGAGTTGTCTCGTGCGAGAAAACCTCACAGACTTGTGGAAGCCAGGTGCATTTCTTCTGGTTGGCCTTTGCTTAGACAAGGAGGAATCACATCTGATTCATTGACTTGCTCAAACAGTAACCACCCATCTTGATCTGGAAAGGGCAAAGACGGGCCTCCAAAGATGACCCAAATGCTTGAGAACTTCCAAAACTCTTTCAGAAATCTTTTCCTACCACACCAGGGGGTGGGGGTAGGATTCAAATATGCCCCTCCATGTATGATAATTCTGACAGCCTCTTGAGTTCATCCTTGATCCTCTTGTTTACACATGGGAATTCAGAAATATGATAATGTCACCAATTTCAGGTTATCATACCAATGACCCAGTGATGTGATTTGCCTCATCTGTGTACTGACATCATGGCTCACTTCCCCATATGTCCCCTGTGAACACCATGCCACCAGCTTTCTCCAATCTTGTTCTTTCTAGAAGTGTTTGATGACAGCTCCATCACACCTAGCCACTATGTGATAGCAGGATTCCACCTCCCAACTTACAGGGGGAAACCAGGTTGACTACTCCAATATTCTGGTGCTGATTTCTTGTGTCCCTTGTATTCTCTTCTTTCTCATTCAGGATGATGGGTTAGGTAACGTTTCTGTGGGATGGGGTGAAAAAGCAAACCACCCTCCTTCTCAACTGGGTTTTGACTGTTGGGTTCATCTTTAGGGAACTCTGGAAGATCAAATCATCCAGGCCAACCCTGCTTTAGAAGCCTTCGGCAACGCCAAGACTGTGCGGAATGACAACTCCTCTCGTTTTGTGAGTGCTCCGAATCTGAAAATCAGGTTTGAGTAAGAAAGATCTACAGAAGCCCCCTCTGAGAGTATGGCCATTATGGAGGGGCATCAAGAGGAAAGACGTCTAATTTGGAGGGTTTCCTGATTTCTGAATTAAGATGCCCTCTGTTCCTTCTGAACTGGCAGAAAATTCTGTTGGCAAGAAATCTGCTGTTTGTGCCAGGATCAAGAGCTCCTGGCTCTTGTAGTATTTTAGTGTGCCTCTATTTTGGATTAGAAATACAAATTGTTGGTTGTCTTATTTCTGCCCCATGCTTGCAGTCCCTTGGGTAGTATTATAAATTCACCCCAGTGTGTCCACAAGGTATGCTCAAAAAAAGCAAGGTGGTGGCTGCAACGGTGCAACTGAAGGGCATGCAACACATATAAAAAACAGGCAGAGTTTCTGTAGCACCATCCTGGCTGCTATCTTGACTTTTTTGACCAAATCCTGCAGACACCCCTGACTCATGCCCTGATCTGCAAGAATAGACAGACTTTGAAGTAGCTCGCATCTTACAGAGGCCATCCAGTGAACTCCATAATAGAGTGGAGGATTTGATCCAAATCTAGGCCTTTTCACCGATTTACACTCTTCTATTTCTACTTAGGGTAAATTCATCCGAATTCATTTCGGGGCAACGGGGAAGTTGGCATCTGCTGATATTGAGACTTGTAAGTCAGCCAGGTTAATACAACTTTTATTTGTCCATCTGTCCGTCTTCCCTTCTTGACCAACGTCTGGTCTAATGGCCTCCTAGCACGCGGGGTCCTGAAACACCAATGCTGGTTGAGAATTTTAGCAATTATAGACTCTGTCTAGCTGAGGAAAGCTGACTTATATATCACGGGGCTAGAAAAAAATAAGATGGAAAAACAGGGAAGAAGGGGAAGGACAGCAGATAAGATGGATGGATGAGATCAAAGAGATTATGGGAAGAGCTATAAATTATTCCCAGAGACTATTAAGATGGTGAGCGCTAGTCTCTGCAGCTACCTTCAACTCAATAGAACCTAATTAATTGCACATCTGTACATCTTTCCATCCAACCCTTAGCTTCTCTCTCCACCCATAGGCACCTCTGTTGACAGATGTTTTTTTAATCAACCATCTCTTCATATTGGATTCCGATTTAGTTAATCTTCTGACTCTTCCGTTTTTTCTTTACATTTTCTCATTTTTACGTAGCATCTGTTTATTTCTCCTGTCTCTCTCTTCCTTAGATCTCCTGGAAAAATCTCGGGTTATTTTTCAGCTCAAAGCTGAGAGAAATTACCACATATTTTACCAGATCTTGTCCAACAAGAAGCCGGAACTTCTGGGCAAGTCTATATGTTCTTCTCTGGGGTAGGAAGGGGGTATATTTTAAACTCCCACTGGGGAGGGCCAGAACCAGATGTGAAGAAGATTTGGGTAATGCCATGTGGGTGGTGGGGTGTGGGGAGCCCTCCCTTTGGACTTTCCAGGAACAGAAGCCCTCACATCATATTTTCCCGGAAGACCCTTAGGCCCTATGTTAGGATCCAGAGGCATTCTGGGAAAATTAAAATGGCTGCATCTGCCACTGGATCATCTCCTCTTCCTCTCCCTCCTCCTCCTTCCTTTTTGATGGGTAGGCATAAAAATAAATGCTATTTAAAAGAGAGCCATCATTAACTTGGCCCTACCACCTTGTGTGCCGATCCCGGTTCCACCATTGGGTAAATCTATTTGAGAACAAACTGCATTCCCATATATTTTGTTCTCATTATACAGGTAGTCCTTGGTTTATGATGGCAACTGGGACCAGAATTGCCATCACTAAGTGATGCAATTGTAAAGCACGATGTCACATGACCGCGCCACTTAGTGACGGCAGTTCCAGCAGTCCTAGTTGCTGTCATTAAGTGAGGACTGTGCAGGTTGTTAAGCAAGGACCTCACATGATCGCAACTTCCAACTTCCTGCTGGCTTTCCCATTGACTTTGCTCAAGGAAAGCCGGTAGGGAATGTCAAAAATCACGATCATGTGACCGCAGGTCCACTGCGACGGCTGGAACTCCGAGGACCGGTCATAACTACCATTCATTCAGCACCATTGTAAGTTTGAACAGTAGCTGAACGAGTAGTCATTAAACAAGGATCACCTGTATGTTAGTTCAATAGTTATGGTTGTGTTTAATTCTTTGGGTTTGGTCTACCCTGAAAGATAGTAGGAAAAAAATTCTGTGACCATAACACTGAAGGGCAAATTGAAGAAGGTGGCCTGTGGAGGAAGATGAAAAGAAGAACCAAATGACCCAACCAACAACATTTCAGCCATGCCAGGGGCAAAGATCAGCCCCTCTCCAGCGTTAAACAAGTATTTTAACATTCAGACGGACGTCACCCAATCTGAAGACCCGTCACCATAGAGTTGCTGGGACAGAATGGTCCCAGTCTATATCCACAGAAAATATGGGCCCAGTTTGAAACGGGAACATCAGCTGTCCTCCCTGGGGCTATTAGAAGATGTAGTTCAGCAATATCTGGAGAGCCACAGCGTCCCATCCTTGTTTAGCGCCACAATCTTCAGATGTATCGCACTGCTACTTCCATCAGACTCATGGAGATTATGGAAACTGTTGTCCATCACATGGAGGTACCAGGTGGTGAAAGGTGGTGATCCAAACTTTCCTTGTGTTCCTCTGTGGTGGATATGAAGGAACAGCAGTAAGACTGACTGAGAAACCATGTTTCTTCCCAGTTGCATCCCCACAGGAACCTAAACTACAAACTACCTCTTGTATGTTGTGTGAACTCAACCCATCGGTTCCTCCATCTAACCCTTTTTCCATCAGTCTGCTTCTTCAAATGTGCACTATTATTATGAATAACCGCCGCTCATTTCTCTGCTTTTCCATCTTTTCTCTCCTAACAGACCTCCTCTTGGTCACCAATAACCCTTATGACTACCACTACATTTCCCAAGGAGAGGTAACGGTGGCCTCCATTGATGACTCCGAGGAGCTGATGGCCACCGATGTAAGTGGCTTTGGGTTCAGGCTCCCCAACCTTTCAGGGGTGCATAGCAAGCTGGAGGTAGCTGGTCAGGCAGGCCAGACTTGCAAGTCTGCTCTTACAGAGGCAACCCACTCCCTCTTTGCTTTTCACTGACATTGTCTCTCTCTCCCACCCCCCACCTCTGTGATCCACTCAGAGCGCCTTTGATGTCCTGGGTTTCACCTCGGAGGAAAAAGTTGGCGTCTACAAACTGACGGGTGCCATCATGCACTATGGGAACATGAAGTTCAAGCAGAAGCAGCGCGAGGAACAGGCTGAGCCAGATGGGACCGAGGGTGAGAGAGAGATGGACCTTGTGGCAAAGGAAAAAGGACTGGAGAAGCTGTGGATGGTGTGAAAGGGTCTTTCTCAACGTCCTCCTCCAAATGTGTTGCTCTACGGTTTCCAGAATTCCTTTGGTGGTTGGGAATTCCAGGAGTTACAACACTTCTGGAGGAAGACAGGTGGGGAAAGGTCACCTTTGGGTGTTGTAGAAGAAGAGGTCTTCTATGGAAGGAAGAAAACTTCAGAAGATGAAGAACACACAGGGCTGGGAAGCCCCCTTTGTTTATGGGAGACACCAGTGAAATTTGCTGGAAGTGTTTCTTTTTCTTTCCAGATGCGGATAAATCCGCCTACTTGATGGGTCTCAATTCAGCTGACTTGGTCAAGGGGCTCTGCCACCCCCGAGTGAAGGTTGGCAATGAATATGTCACCAAAGGGCAAAATGTCCAACAGGTGAGGATGCTTGCTTCCCCTAGACTTGGTCAGAGTTACCCAACAGGGAGATATTTTGGGATTGGTGGAGCTTTTCCCAGAGTTGCACAGTTTGAGAAAACAGCATCTGTTGAACTTCTACCTTGGGATGTCGTTCTTAAGGGCGCATTTCCTCAGCACCAAGGAGGGCACTGTAGAGAATTTACTAGCTGTGTTTGTGTAAGATACTTAACCAGGTCCAATAAAGACCTTACAGCTGTGTTGACCGAAAGACTAAACCTGATTCACTTTAATCTTGGTTAGGAGGGGGTTGTTGCTTAGCTGGAAAGGCAAACCCAGCCCATTCATTCTGTGTTGGGTTTAATGGACTGCATGAACCCAGAAAATAGGTTCACTTAATAACTGAGTGAGGTATGTACTGTGAACACAAGTATGTGTAGGTACATCTCCATGTGTGTGTGTGCGCGCACGCACATGTGTGCGCAATTGAAGCCCTGTCCTTTTTAATGTGTGTTGTGATGTACAAAAAAGGGTGGGGGCTTTAGTCACATGGTTGTGGCCACCATTTTGACTTTTTTGACCTCCCTTGCAGATCTCCTGGCTATGGGATTCTGAAAACTGCTGAGGATAACTATATTATTCCAGTGGTTACATGTCAGTCTGAGGATTCTGAGTTTTCAAGACTATATTTGGGGTTAATCAAGGCTTTTCACCTGCCAGCTTATGCCCATTTATTAGAGATTAAGCTATACTTAAATCTATATATAAACATAAGAGGGAGGGAGTAAAAAAGGATCCGTATGATATTAATATGAAATTAATTTAATACATACTTATTAAGACAATACGGCACAGAAGCACATTGCTCTGTCTTCCCATTTTTAAAATATAAGAACAATTCAAAAATGGATAAAGGACATATCACTTCAATCCATTCTTTACCATTAGGAGTGTAGATTTCTCTCCATCTACATCAAAGAATTCTGTTGGTTGAGCCCCAGGATCAATCAAGAGTTCATCATATAGTGTCAAATTCCATATTGGAATTCAACAGCACATTTCCAACTTGAACTACTATGGTTTTTCTCAAGATTGTATCAACGTGCACTGAAATTTGAAACAGAAAGGGTTTCGTGTTGACTTTGATTGATTACGTGCCATCAAGTCAATGTCAGCTGCACATGACCACATAGGTAGATTTTCTTCAGAGGGATCTGCCCTTAACCTGGTCTTCGAATGATGCGCCCATCATCACTGCAGCTGAGTCCCTCCACCTTGGTGCTGGTCATCTTCTTCTTCTCTTTCTTTCCACCTTTCCCAGCATTAGAGCCTTCTCCAGAGAGGATAATGTGCCTGAAATAAGGTCATTTGAGCCTGGTCATTTGTGCCTTGAGTGAGAACTCTGGGTTGATGTGTTTTCTTGGCTGTCCATGGTCTTCTCAGTTTTCCCCACCGAAGTTCAGAAGTGTCAATACTCTTCCCATCCTGCTTCTTCAAAGTCCAACTTCCACTTCCACAGAGTGGTACAGGGAAATCCCTCATTGCCCACATGATTCTGCTCTTTGTAGGTAGAGAGACATCCTGGCACCTAAATATCTTTTCTTTGTTGCTACCCTACAAAGTACTCATCTGTGGTGTATTTTCTTGATTGTTGAAAGTCGATCCTAAAAGGCAAAAATCTCTCCATCTCTTCAGTATCTTCATTGCCAATTCTAAGGCTGATTGTTCTACCTGATGTCATTAGTTTGGTCTTCTTTATAGTTAATTTTAGTCCCATTTTTTTTCACTGTGCTTCTTGACTTCTATCAGTAGACCGTGCAGATCCTTTGCATTTTCGGTTATTTAAGTGTGTCATCGGCATTGTGTAAGTTATCGATGTTTCTTCCTCCAACTTTAAAACCACACTCATCTTCTTCCAATCCAGCTTCCCTCAATATATTCTCAGCATAGAGGATGAATAAATAAGGGGAGAGTGTACAGCCTTGTCACACTCGGTTGCCATCCTGAAGCCAGTCTGTTTCGCCATGTTCTGTCCATACTGTAGCTTCCTTTGCATGAGATGTTCAGGGATTCCCATTTCTCTAAGCACATTCCACAGCTTGACGTGATCAATGCCTTGGAAGCCCTTCTATAAACAAAGGACATGACCAAATCATATGAGTCAAACAGTGCTGAAACTGAAATGAAATGCCAGCAGAAGAAATCTGATTTCCAACCTTCTTTTAGCCTAACCTCTACTGAAGTCTTTCCCCACTGCTGAGTTGGAGAAGAGTAATCAACACGCAGGTTACTATCCCTGTTGCTCATTCTTATCGCTTCCTTTTCATTGCCGGTCATCTGAGTTCTCCCCAAACTCATGTCTGGGAAAGTTTAACAGAATCTGTAAACCTTGATGCTGCCGTTGGACGATATCAGAATAGGGGGGAAAGTATAATTTTTATTTTATTTTATTTTGTTGTGTTTTATTATTTTATTTATTTTACTTTACCTTATTATTTTATTTTATTTATTTTACTTGACTTTATTTTTATTTTATTTTATTTTATTTTATTTTATTTTTTTTATTTTACAGTGGAGCTGAAACTGTTCCACTCATAGGCTAGAGACTAAAGGAAGGCCGTGTCATTGGGGCAGGGTAGAAAAAAAATTACTGCTAAGCCTTATTTTTGCTTTCGTTAAGAGTAAGAGAACAACCCCATAATGTTATTAGACTTAATCTCTGAAGAAACACTCCAAAGTTCACTGTTATGTCCAAGGTTATCTGATAAAGACAGAATTTTGCTTGTAAAAAATGCAGCGTAGGAATTTTTCTTCTCTTTGGAAAAAACGGGCACAGGAGAAGGCCTGAAGCACCGGATTTGGGGGGAGTCAAGCTTGGACCACCTGTCCTACCAACCGCCTTCAGCTATGCCTGCGACAGCTGGCACAAAGACTTCATGGGGCGCAAATACCCAGCGGCTTGCAGATCCTGGCCGATGGCTTTATCTCCTTCTAAGGCAGGGTTCAATCTTGCACGCCCGGCTCTGCATCAAAGCCGGGCACCAGCCAGAAGAATATGAGAAACTGGGATCCAAAAAGCTGAATCGAAGGAGTGGATGGTACTGAAATATTTCTTATCTCAGGCACCATAACCCTGAGAAAAACGGCCATAAATTACGGCCATGCTATTATTTTTAAGTGCTCTCAGATGTTCCAAAAATGCCATTGCTACAGGGGCATCTGTGGAGCAAGGTCAAAAAAGTCGAGACTGGTAGGCTTGATGCCCCGACTCCTTCGACTGCACGGTCACAGACAACATCTTGACAGGTTTGACTCCTCTGTGTGGCTTGTGGTCTAGGAGTTTAGATAAAGGTATCAATCACAAAATTGAGGTGTTCTTTCAGTATTAGGGGATGTATGGCTCTGCGCCCTTCCGTCCTGATTATTGGCTTTATGGAGGCGCCTGCCCGGCTGTTGTGGGGCTAAACAGACTTTGGTTTGATCCAGTCTGGCTCTTGTGTTCTTTCAGAAGATAAAGAAGAGATCAGGGACGAAAAGGCCAGCGGAATTCCTAAATCAATGCCATGCGAGGACTTGGCACTTGAAAGGGCCTAAGACAGATGGAGGTAGCCTTTTTCATGTCCCACAATGCTCCTGGTGTAGCAGCGCCCTGTAGCATTGTGGGAAATTAGAGGATGGCTTGACTCAGCCATGGAGGTTCTTCCCTGGACTCTGAGAAGTTGCATAGTGCCTCCGGGCATCTGGACTTCTCCACTTTTGATATCATTTCTGATTAAGTACTTCAGTATTTCCTTAATTTAAGGATTTGATTTTCCCACCATGACCATTCCTGGCCTCAGCATATTTCCCAGGTACTCAGAAAAGGAAAACATGTACATATGTGCACACACAAGCACGCATGCACACAAACAGTATTGTCAATTTAAAAGAAAGCGAAACCTTTTTAAAAAGCTACTGATACTTGAGAACCCCTTGTTATTTCACCTGTTTTTTTACTCTGTTTCTTCTTTTTTTCTTTTTCTGTTTCCATACTTTCTCTTAAAATCTTCAGTAAAAATATTGAACAGCTCATGGAAATAAAATAAAACAGAAAAGGACTAAGCAGAGACCCAAAGCAGTCTGATTAAAATGACGATTTCAATAAAAATCTTATTTTAAGATTATCTATTATCCAGGCAGCGTAACTGGTTCCTTGCCCCTTGTCTTTTGCACAACAACCCCACGCAGTGTCCAAGGCTGTGCTTTGTTGTCAACTGTTGTTGTTGGAACAAACCGTGATAGCTGGCTTCACACCGAACCCTTAGCCATGAACTGGCAAGATGGCTGGATTCACATATTAGGCTGGGCCAGAAACAAAGCATGTTCCAGCTTAGAGTTACTTGTGACCCAGTAAACTTCCAGCTTAGCTATGGAACAGGAGGACAGTTCTGCACAGGGAGAACTCCTCAATTCCAGAGCAGATGGTCTTCCTTGGGTAGAAACTCCTGTAGGATCATCCTTCCCAGTCCCTCCATCTCCCTCTTTCCTGCTGACATCAAGGCCCTGTGATCCCTTGTGACCATTTCCTGATGTTTCGCTTATGAAGGCAATGTCAAGATGCCATGG